CAGCAGTTAGGGAACGCAGTGAGTCCGTTCCGCTTCCAGCCCAGCTTGTTAAAGGAGGGAAAGCAAAAACCAAAACAACCCAAACATGCAAAGTACAATAAAAAGAATTAAAATAAAAGAAAAACACAATCATGTTTTCCCCTTGGAATGTAGTTTAGGTGCTGCAACACACTAACACTACATTCCCCACAATGCAACAGTAGCCTGCAGAGTCACAGCAGCTCACAGAAGCGGCGGTGGCCTGTGGGTGGGTTCTAATGGTCATCCAGGGGGCCGATTGGTGGGCCGGATCCGTCCTGCAGGCCTCCACTGAGATTTATTGGTTCAACCTGTTCTATGACCAGCTGGGAAGCTGCCAGCTAGAAGCTTCTTTTCTTCCTAATGATTCGTTGATCTGATGTCAATGTTGTCCCACAGCTAAACTGGACGCCGCCACGCAGGTGATCAGCCAGAATCTGGGCAAGAACTGGCGCAAACTTGGACGCAAACTTGGACTGAGTGAGGCGAAGCTGGAGTCCATCGCACTGCGGCATCCCACCGACCTGGAGGAGACGGCCATGGAGCTGCTGAAGGAGTGGAGGAAGAGCGGAGGAGCCGGGGCGCCCACTGACGAACTGCTGGCGGCTCTGAGGGGCGTTCAGCTCAACCTGACGGCCGACAAGATACAAGATAAACTGAGACAGGAGGGGCTGATGGCAGCCGACTAGAGGCGGAGGACGGGGCCGACCCGGCCGCTTTTTAAAAACATCTTATCAGATGATGAGCAACTTTTGATTTACAGAAAGGATCCTGGAACCATGATGCAGATGATTGGGACTGATTCAGAGGCAGAGAGGTTAGCATGATGGCGGTCCGCCTCCCTCTGAGGTCACATGCTGTCGCTTTCAAATCCAATCAGAAAAAGTTATTTTCATGATTCATGCTGATAATAAAGATTTGCTGGACCTCCTCTGAACCCAACAGGCTACATAAGGAAAATCTTTATGAGAAAATAACTATCTTTATGATCATTTATTAAGTGTATGTAAAACCTGTAAAATCTAGATGAATGAAAAACTATTGCTCACAAAATGCATCAGGGGAATTTAATATTTAATGCAGAAGTGATCATTTACTAATAGCCTTTTTATATGGTAGGAAAATGCTTTGTTCTATACTCAGATTCAACCAACTGGTTTTCTTTCATTTCTCGTGCTGTTTATGCCCCCAAACCCCCCCTGGTTTGGTGAAACCAGGGGGGGGGGGCATCATGTCATATAATGAGTGAAGAACTTTCCGCCCTGTATAAATCTCCGCTGCCTTGTGCCCTGTCCCTTTCTTATGACGTCATCATATGGCAACGCCACTCGGACAAACTGTATTTCACCCGTTACTTAAGAATCGCATCTCTTCTGGAGTCTCAACACATTATTACCCATATTTACTATTATTTGACATTTCTTTGGTACCCGACAGTAGTTCCAGGAAAGTTAAAAACAATCCGCTGGACTTTGTTCCCAAGTTTGAAGATGTTTTGCTTCCCATCTAGGAAGCTTTTCCAATTCAAAATGGAGTCCATTGGATTGTTTTTAACGTTTTTGGAATGACTGACCTGGGGTCTTTTTCATTAAGTAGATTTAATAAATTCAGATTCAAATCCTAATTTACTGGAGCCTAAAGTCAGGAGCTCTGAGTGTTTGGTTTCACAATGGCTGCTATCAATTAGTTCATTTCATTTTAACTAGGTCCACTCAGAGTTGAGCTCGTGAGCAACTAGTATGGAAATCTGACAAGTCACCTTGACAACAGGAAACAGGAAGCGCCTTTTTCATCCCAATGGAACTAGAGGTTTTAATGCAAATATAAAAACAGTAGAATGTGTTTAAAGGACAAAGCAACAGCTGCAAAGATTGCTGCTCCAGTTAATGAGTAGGTTTATATGATGTGGGCTATGGCAAGCCGTTTTTACATTTATTAAAAGCATTCCTCTCTGTTGTTCCATTTGTAGATCACTAAAACAAGATTCTTTCTGATCAGAATCACACTCCTAGACTGAACTGTTATCATTTTCTAAATTACATTTTTGTAGCAGAAACCAAGTTTTAGAAAGTATAAAACAAAACAAAATTATACTAGTAAGAATTAAGTTTTAAATATTTATTCATTTCATTTATTCATTTTAAGTGGCCATTCTGATATTTATCAGCTTGACTGAAAATGTATTTATTTATATCTGAAATACATTCCTTCATAGGTAGAATAATACAAATGCTGACTAGTAACAATAGGAATATAGAGATCTGAAATTAATTTCTAGACATCCAGAATGTTTATTCTAGATGTGCAGAATGACATTTTGTTTAAAATGGTCATTTAGAAAAGATATCAGGTAGAATATTCAGTAAAACCAGTACACATCAAAACGGCTAGCCTTAGTTTTGTTACCGTAAAAATATAAGGGGATTATTTCCTGAATGGTCGTGGATCAATATTTCTATTTAGGTGAAATATTCTGGCAGCAGAGGAGGATGAAGAATAAAAAGGTTCTAATCTATAGAACCTGTTCATCATCTCATGGGTTCCTCCTCATGTTGATTCTGTCGTGGGAAAAAAGTATTCAACTACGGTATTCATCCTAGTTAAATAAACGGAGATTGATGGATTTCACTCAGTCGGCACATTTATTAATAATCTTTGCAAAGAGAGAACAGTTCATCATACGGCCCTTATGGCACAACATTCTGCTCTGGACAGCGTTCGTTCCTCCTTACTTACAACAATGGAAAGCAGTCAGAGTCAAAACAATTACAGACACTTTGGTTAAACAGTAACATGTGATGAATAAACCTTTAGAAAGAATCTGGTTTGTTATGGGAAGAAGCTCTGTCTGGTCTACAAACACCAGCCTTGAGAGAAATGTGTGGCCTTGAAGGTAAAGCAGACTGAGTGAAAACTTTTATAGTGAGTAAATATGATAAATTAATATAGAATAGAAGAAAGATTAAAAATTTCCAACAACAGTCCACCCTTTCGATTTTAAAAGGATATTATCCTTGTGTAATCGATATTATAAAAAAAGGAAAATTTATGAATATAAGAAAACTAAGAAACTAAAATTGTGAATAAATGTAAAGAAAGCTAAAAACTACAAAACTAAAATAAAAAAAAATAAAAATAATGATAGTAAAAAAAAATAATAAATCAAAAATCCACAACTGCATTAAGTCGGTGGACAATGTTGATTATAATAGGTGGAAAAAGTATGGACAAGATTATGATAGCTAAAATATGTTGCCAATAAAAAGAGCCCTGGAATCACACC